GCGTTCTTAAAAAATGGCTCCAAACTTTGTCTTATAATGATACTGAAAACCTTTTGAGTGTCGTCTCATAAATAATTTTTATTCAACATTATTGTATATATTTAGCATTATTGTACAATGTTACACCTACAAAAATTACTGTACACGTAACTAATCAGTTGTTCTGAGACTCTGTGGATTGAGAAGCGACATAAATATTCTTAATTGGTGATTATAGCGTATTTTACACCTTGTAATATTTTCTTTCTTGTACTTGTATTACTGAGAGGTGGGAACCTGGTGGCCTGACGCACAGGCATTTTTATGCTTAGTTTAGGCATCAGTCTCCCACAAAATTATTGTTCTTAAAAATTAAACTTGTGAACTAATCTTTAGCTATATTTTGTGGAAGAAAAATAAACTTTATTATTATTATTATTATTACTCCACTCCACCTGATGTTAAGTGGAAAGTGGTATCCAAACGCGAAGGAACCTAGTGCAGCGATGGAATTATTAGTTATTGGTCCATGCTAGCATAAAAATCACAGCGATTTCACAAATTCGATTTGTGACCGCTTAATAGCGTGGTAATTTTAATAAAAGTGTGGTAATTTCTTCCTTATGCTCATCTCTAATATTGGTTTTTTAACACTATTAACACTGGAAAGTGGTGTGCTCTCTAATTTCTCTATGCTGTATAACCGCTCGCTCTCAGCCTTGTTCTCTGTCAGCTCCTTGTAGTAGCTCGCCACGATCATCAGCATGTAGGACTCAATCGCTGAAACCGATAAAAAAAGCAAATAATGTTAGAATGCACCACAGGCACATATGTAAAGGCATGCGATAGCAATAGCATAGGTGTAACAAATTAAATACGCAATTTATGCGAGCTGATATCTTAACTTATCACTTTAGTGTTATTACCAATACCGATACGAAAATCGAAAAATTCCTTCGATCTGAGTGGACTCGAACCAAGGGGCCTACTATGAGCTTATAAGCGGCCAGCCAAGTTCCATGCAATTCACTTGACGTGGTAAAACTGAATTGCTTAAATTCGTATCATGACCTACACAAAGTTGAACGGGAACGTCATGCCAGGATGATGAGTTTTACTTTTTAAACGTTAATTATTGTCTCTGGCTGGCTAGCTGACATCTAACAAGAGCGAGATGGAAGTACATACTAAATCATATGAAAGAAATAGACAGATGTACTATCATGGGAGCGTTCAAGCACTATTAACCGATTGTGTTCAAAATGAGAATAATTAAATTTTTTTATTAGTTTTGTTGTTGATTACGTATAGTTACTACGTTGTTTTGTAATACCGGCAACTTTTTAATCATACTTTACAATTTGTCGTACGACATAATTATATGCTAGTCTAGTCTAGTCATTATCATTGAAATTATTAAAATTAATGAGGTGAGTTTGTAATTTGATAACACAATTGGAACGTATCTTGTATTCGTGCATTTTCATTGAATGCATTAAAGTCAAATTTGGCACTATTTATAAGTTATTTTACGATTTTCGGTCAATAAAATTATTAAAATTATTAAAGTTCCATTTCAAAATTGCAATAACATTCATGCCAATAATTTATCAACACTACTTTAAAGATGGGAACTCAAACTAAAATTTTCAAAAAACGCTCAATAGTTAATAGTATTTATTTATTGACAATTGGCTGTATAGCCCTTAGAATAATAACGCATAGAATCATTGACTTACATAGAATGATAGTTTCATATCAAACGAACTGTCACAAGCGAGGCAAAAATCAAATTTATGTAGGCTAGTTTTAGTAGTAGGTTAATTTTCGGTTTTAGTGAATATTTATATAAAAATACAAGTTGAAACGCGTTACTTCCTTGTGGAATGTGATGTTAGTATCTATTTTATGTTTGTCTGACGTATTTTTACACTCATTAACCGCACGTTTCGTCATTTTTAGCTAAAATTCTGGAGCTGTTCGCGGTGCAAGTTGACCTTGAGCACTAAAGGCCCGCCCGCTCGTGTAGGCCCTTTGGGAGCGCTTCAATTTGCCTCACTTAGCGTGTGCGGGCTAGGTTTCTATGCGTTATTATTCTAAGTTATAGCCTATAAAGATAAGAAATAATTATAAAACTGAAAATATAATAAAACTTATACGAAATTTCTTAAAAATGTAACAAAATCTAAAAAAAATAAGTAACGGAGTAACTTTTTTTGAATTGCTTATTTTTACAGATGAGGCCGCCACTTGCATGGCAAATGGCACATCATGATACGATTTTGCTATGAAAGAAAAGGTGAACGGATTTCGAATGGGGAACGTAAACTGTATGGACAGTGAATTGTTTTTGTGAGGTCATAGTACGAATTTGACAGGCAATCCAACTTACAGGCTTAAATAGGATTGCTCTAAGAGCTCATAGTAAGCCCCCAGCAGGTTTTTGCTATAGCGCCACCTGCAAGAAACTTATGTAAGTTTTTCCTCCACCATAGTGTATAACACTATCGTCGATGTACATATTGTAGAGAGGGCGTAAGCGACTTTTCATGTTTTAGTTTTTCACGACTGTTTTGAAATATTTACGTCCTGTTTTATGTTGAATTTTAAAACCGAACTTAATTAAAATCAGTATTTCATATCAAAACAGGACGTAAATATTTTTTAGAACAGGTTAAAACCTAAAACATGATCCCCTGAAATATTTTACGATATGTCTCTTACGGCGATGTATGAATGTAATGTTTATAAAACATAATGATATTCAGTAGAACGAATAAAATTGTCAGGTTAATGTTTTAAGTCGCTTAATAAATTAAGAGAGTACGTAGAGTACGAGAGTGCGTAGAGCCTTGAAGTATCTAAAGATACTTCAAGGCGCTACGCAACTCCACTGATTCAAAGATTCAAAAGCTTTATTTGCCACGTCACAAGCTCATAACATTTGTCACGTCAAAAATACAAAATATGTTATTAGGCAAGATGAACCATTATTAACATAATGTACCTATTATACATTGACCTACCAACTATTATATAACAAATTCAAAGATTTGCATATACAGAATTAAAATAATAATTTAGTAATTAATAGTGTTTTTATGATGTAAATTGCATAATAAATGTATTAATAGATACATTAAATGTCATTAAATAAATCAGCATTTTTGATAACGCATAAGATCAAATAGAATGTATTATTTAAACATTTTTTTAATCTTTTGAGCCAACCATTCTGTACTAAACGTATTCATTTCAATTAGACAACTCTGTGCTGGCCCCAAAGAAGGTGTTTTCTGTCGCATTACCGTAAAAATGTCATACAATACAATCCCACAAAGCATATTTTTGCCGTTTCCATTCTTTGGGAACCCTACAGAAACTGTACACTTACCGATCCAAAGGAAGTGTAAAATATATTTGTGCCCGACGATTTCGTAATTCCTGATGATTACCCACATCGTCAGCAATACCACTACAATGAGCTGAACTGACTTGAATACTATCCATGGTTTTATCATGACCGCACGCTCCTGAAATGTCAATCAGTCTTAGAAATTTAAACTATTAATATTCGGATGTAAATAACCAAAGAACAATATAAATGTAATTTATTCATCACACTTTCACGTAAATAGGCCCGAGGGTTTTATTTGGGGCATTATAGTCAAGTTCGTTCAACGATAAAATAAACGACCACGACATAGTCAAGACAGATAGTCGTGATACGGGAACAGGCTAGACGCAACTGTCGTCCAACAATAAATAAAACGTTACGACAGAATGGGAACGCGCCCTAATTCTTATTACATTCGCGGTGTAGCACGAAAAGACTTACAAAATGGGGATCGACCCTACATTTGTTTAAAATGTGATCCAACAGTTAAATTTTCAGGTATCAATGAACATTGTAAAGCGAAAGTAGTGATGATCAATCGCGGACCGTCACTGAAATTCTTCTCACCTTCAAAGCTCCCAGCATCATCATAGCGCTGAGCGAAAAGGACGTGACATGGACGATGATGATAGTGATCATGATGCCGAGGGTCAAAAGCGCCTCCCACTTGTTAAAATCTAGCAATGGTGCACGTCGTGACAGCTCCACGAAGCAGTATTGTATCGAGAATAGGGAGTACAACTGGGATCAAAATTTTAAAAGGTTTCATCAGGCAATGTCTCTAGATTGGCTGAATGGTGGGTAGAATGAGAACACTTATTTATCAACTGTACGTAGTGGTCGAAAAGGCTCGAGCCTTTTAGCCCTTTTTTAAGACTCGCCGCTTTATAGCGATGGCTAGAAGGCTAAAAAGCTAAATAACTCTCAAGCCCTCGAGGCTAATTGTATTTATGGCTTTTGCTAGCCGTCAAAAAGGCTCAAGCCTTGTAGCCCTAAATTTAAAGCTTGCGAGTCTTTTTTAAAGGCGGACTCACAAAACAGTAGTTCTAAAATGGCTCACTAAAAAAGGGCTTGAGGCTTTTTTTAGGCCTAGGCTTTTTTAAAGCCTTTTTAGAATAGTGGCGTCGTGGCGTAGTGGTTAGTAATCCTGACTGCTAATCCAGAGGTCGTGGGTTCGATTCCCACCGAGGACAAATGTTTGTGTAATGAACATGATAATTTGTTCTGTGTCTATAAATGTATATGTTTGTTTATCGGTTGTCTAGTATCCATAACACAAGCTTTAGTTTGCTTACTTTGGGAATAGATAGCGTTGTGTGAATATGTAGTGACATATTTATTATTATCCATTTATTATTATTAATATTGTAGCCATCACTATAAAGCGGTGAGTCTTAAAAAAAGGCTAAAAAGCTCGAGCCTTTTTGACCGCTAACGCCAGTCTTCTAAAAAGGCTTTAAAAAAAGCCTCGGCCTAAAAAAAGCCTCAAACCCTTTTATAGTGAGCAATTTTAGAACTACTGATTTGTGAGTCCGCCTTTAAAAATGGCTCGCAAGCTTTAAATTTAGTTCTAAAAGGCTCGAGCCTTTTCGAACTCTTTTGTGAGTCCGCCTTTAAAAAAGACTCGCAAGCTTTAAATTTAGGGCTAAAAGGCTCGAGCCTTTTCGACCACTAACTGTACGCCACCGAATATTTTATACTAACCTAATACTCGAAGCAAAAACCATAAAACAACCAATAATATCTTTATTACAACCATACTCACAATGAATAACTGGGCCGAAATGACGCTGCCGAGCCTGAGCGAAAGACACGCCGCGCTCTTCAGCCACGGAAAGTTGTCTATTAAAATCTGGGTCACTGAAAAACACATTTCCATATAGAAGTTTTTTTTACTTCCTTGATATCATTAATTTCTTGACGACGGCAACTAATTAATTTCCAGATTTCCAGCAACTGGAGCCTAATACTGTATGCACTATTAGGAATTTATAGAAAAGTTCTGCAACCTGCGTCTGGAGTACAAGTGGACGCGAAAGAAGCAAGGCTTTTTCGCTGTTACGCATGGAAATAAGAATAGAATAGAATCGTTTATTTCATGTTATCAATGTCACAATATTACAATTGGAAATACAATGTCAAGGGATAACTATGATCGTCAGTAATAAAATAATAATGATAATAATGAATATAAAATAAAGTAGTATAACTACTGCTTGTCGAATAAAATAAAATTAAAATTGTTTCAAAAGAAACTCATCGACACTGTACAATTCAATACCCAAGAAAAGGATTTTTAATCGGGTACAAAACGTTTCATCGTTTCTAACACTTTTCAGGTCTGTGGGTAGATGTTCGTAGAATCGTGGACCTATTACCCGCGGATTTCTAGTTGCAAGTTCGGTACGGTGGGCAACGGATTTTAGTGTTCCCGCGTTTCGTAACGCTCGGCCTCCGCCCGTACGTCGCTCATAAGTAGCCAAGTTTTTACGCGCATAAACTATTATATCATAAATATATTGTGAGTACATGGTCA